CCGCAATCAAATTGGGCCTTCCTATTATTCAACTATAGAGAAAGACTTTATGGTTTATGAGATGCACAGTTTGGAAGACAGTGGCCTTTAAACATTTAGGCCCTAAGCCCTTGAATGGATATTTGCTCTTGTAAAATAGGTATATAATCATTATTGACAAAAAGAATTGTTTTTCATAAAATTAGAGAATTAGAAGTAACATTAGAAGTCATCTAGTCCAATGCCCTTCTCTCTAAATCATCTCTAACAGATTAACATCTACCTTGTGCCCAAATACATCCAGCAAAAGAAAATAACAATTTTCTTGTGGCAGCCTTGACTGACAGCTCATACAATCAAGAAACTCTTCCTGACTGTAGCCAGAGCCTGCTTTCTTAAGGTTTTTAACACAATGATTCTGATTTTGACCTTTGAGGCAATAGAAAATAAGATTATTCCATCTTCTGCATAATAGTTATTTAGCTACTTGAAGACTATCTGTCTCATCTCCCTGACCCCAGCATCATTTATTTTATCGGCTAAACATAGATGTTTTAACTGCTCCTTACAAGTCTTAATTTCCAGACATTGTACTACTTCAGTTGTCTTTGAAACTGCTTCTATTTGTCACTATCCTTAAAAAAAAACAAAACACGACCTTTGGTAACTAAAAGAGTTTTGCAAATGGGGTCTGATCAAGGCAGAGTAGATTAATCAAGTCCCATGATCTGGAGTTTGTGCTTCTATTAATCTCCCCCCCCCCAAATACTACCTTCCTTTCTAATTAATGCATCACACAGCTATTTCATGTTTAATTAGTGATTGAGAAGGACCCCCAGATTCTTTTCATACATATTACTATCACGTATCTATCTCTCCCATTCTGTATTTGTACTTTTCATTTTTCCTGCCAGATATAGAGCTTTATTTCCTCCCTGTTAAATTCCATTCTGTTCATTTCAGCCCATTACCTAATCTTTTCTAGACTCTCTGAATCTTCTGTCCTCTTTGTACTAGCCATCTTTACCAGCTTTGTGTCACACTTAATAGGCGTCCTCTCGACTCCCTCCTCCATCATTGACTAAAGTGTTAAAAAGCATAGGGCAGTGGTGGCGAACCTATGGCACAGGTGCCAGAGGCGGCACTCAGAGCTCTCTCTGTGGGCATGCGCGCCGTCGCCCAAGTCCTAAGCCTTCAGCTGGATTTTATAAAACCTTTTCGCTTTAGGCCTCTGATGCCATGTCCAAAAAAACACAAAACGGTTCAATCAGTCAATTTGGGAAAAAAAAGATCTTGCAAAGTTGGAATTGATTGATTGAACTTTTTAGTCCCACCCAGCCTGCCGTTACCACCGCAGCCACGCCCACCCAATGGGCCACGCCCACCCGGCACTCGACGATGCATAAGTGGGTTTAGGGTTGCACTTTGGGCACTCGATCTCTAAAAGGTTCGCCATCACTGGCATAGGGCTTAGGACACAGCATTTAACCATCCACTTGATACTACTCTCCAAGTAGAAAGCATCATGAGATAGTTCTTCAAGAGCTTTACTGAGGTCAATGGACACTGTGTCCAAAACATTCCCCCGATGTGCTAAGATAGTAATCTCTATCAAAGAAAGAAAGGAAATTGTGTAGCATGATATGTTTGCAACAAATGTGAGCTTACTCTTGTTAATTAGGGCATACTCATCAAAGTGCTGTTTAACAATCTGTTAGAGTATTATACATGAAATTACTGACAGATCTATAGTTTCCCAGATCCTCCTTTTCAAGGATGTCAATGACATTTGCTGGGCCTTACCAGTCTTCTAGAGTTCCAAAAGATTATTGAGAGTAGTTTTGTGATTCCTTCACTACTCTTAAGATGCAATCCATTTGACCCTGGAAATTTGAATTTATTTAAATTAGCTAAATGTTTGTTTACTCTTCCATTCCCTCCTTCCCTCTTGTGGAATAATAATGACCAGTTAGAGCTATATTCCTCTTCTGGGGGAAGTTTGGCATAAAATATGCCTTCTCATCACTTATTACCAATATGATGCTTTCTCTTTGCAATGGAGCACTTTGGCTTACCTTTTATTTCTAAGTAACTCCAGCTCATCCCGAGATTTAATCTTTCTGACACAATTTATAAAGTCCATTCCTGTAATGGAGGAAAAATTAAGGAGAGTACTTTACTTTATCTTTCATTATGCATTCCTTCTTTAGTTTTCTTTCTTTTTTTTCTCTTCAGGATTTTAGAATTTTGTTGTTGTTGTTGTTGAAGTTAATGCTTTGATATGCTTATCCTTAAGTGATTAGTAATCATTCTCAACTTTGTTACATTTCAGTTGTCAGCAGTGCTTTTTTTCTAAAAAAAAAAAAAAAAAAAAAAGGTGCCAGAACTCACACACATCATACAACCCACTTTGCCTACCCTATAAGGTTCCATCCAAAAAAGGTGCCGGAACTCCGTTCTGGGCGTTCTATGAGAAAAAAAGCCCTGGTTGTCAGTATCTGTCCATCAGTGTAGAATTGCAATACCATATGTTAAATCCAGGTCTTCTGGAATTAAATATGGCTTCCTTTTTCCTAAGTTTCTGTTCAGTTTTAATATGACCTTCTATTAGAAAATTTGTGGTCTAAATTCTGTAGAAAGAAGTATAAGATTCATAAATTGAAATAAATTATTGGGACATTTCCCTTAATACTATTTAATTTATTTGTTTAATTCAGCAGTTAGAATTATTCCCATTATCTTCTATGAATGATACAGTCCACCTTTGCCAGGTCCAGAGTTGGTGATCACAAGTTTCCTGCGTTGAACAGCAGCATTGGATTTAAGGGTCCAATGGGTGCTGGCCATCTCCCATGTTACAAAGATGTACCACTCTGCTGAGCTCAGCTGCCCGTTGCTCTGGAGTGATCATTCCCTTTTGCTATTGCAATACACGTAGTCCTTGACTTATGACTCACTAAGTGAGTCAGATGTTAAGTGAGTTTTGCCCCATTGTACAATCTTTCTTGCTACAGTTGTTAAGTGAATCTCTGCAGTTGTTAAATTAATAACACGGTTATAAAATGAATCTGATTTCCCCTTTGACTTTGCTTGGTCACAAAAGGTGTTCACATGATCCCAGGACACTGCAGCCATCATAAAAATGAGTCAGTTGCCAAATACCTGAATTTTGATCACGTGATCCTGAGAATGTGGCCGTGGTCGTAAATGTGAAAATGGTCATAAGTCACTTTTTTCAGTGCCGTTGTAACTTCAAACATTCACCAATAAGTCAAGGGCTACCTGTAGCATGAAAGGCATCATAAATTTATGACAACTAATTCCTGAAATTATTGTATCATCTAATGTATCACAGAGGAGGTGGATCATCATTTCATTATGAAACCCCAGACACAATCCTGCTTAATAATGCTGCTAAAGTATCACTCAACCATTGAACAAATTTGGTTGGAGTCTTCAGCAGATACCTGCCCAGAGCAGTTAATATATGTAATGTATATTCAAAATAAAATGTGCACCATCCATAGTTGCAAAAGTTGAGCAGTCTTCTAAAGAAAGAGAGATAAATTGTAGTATGGGGATATCCCCCTAATCATGTTTCTCATACAAACTATAAGATACTTTCAGTTGTTTTCTAATTGTAAAAAAATAGATTTGGTATGCTTTTTTTGGGGGGGGGCTAATTAACCTTCTTTCTCTAGTTCCCCAAGATTGCAGCTTCAGAGATATCCGATTCCTTAAAAATCTTATTTTGTAGAGTCATTTTGGTATAGTGGCTAAGGTGCTGTCCTAGAAACTAGGAGTCTGTGAATTCTACGCTTGCCTTAAGAAAAGGTGGGATAAAAATCTAATAATGAAAAATAACAGTCTAAGCAGTAGATAATTTACCTTCCAACAGGAGTGCTGTTATTTAGCATTTCAGCCATCCATCCTCTTCAAACAGAGGATGCCATGTCTCCTACCAGATTTGTGGTTTTGGTTTCCAGCCAATTTGTGGTAGGGTTTTTTCTCCCCTCTTATATGTCTATAGGACAGGTACTAGGCTGCATTCTGTGGTTCCCCTTTAGGTTTCTGTTTTTAAATATGTCTTTTCTAACTTTTAGGATTCAGGCACATTAATACCTTGAGCTTTAGTTGGATCAGCATTCATTATATTTTCATTATTCAGCATTCCATCACTATAAAGCAATCTTTCTGTTCATTCTATTTGATTATTTTTCTTACTCAATTAAGTTAAAAGAATATCAGTTTTTAGGTACATTTTGCCAAATTAGAAGCATTTTTAGGATGGATCTAATTTAAATCATTTTTCAAGAGGAAAAGCTTTCTGAGAGTTCATCCTTATGGATAATTATTCTTCAGTATCCAGAGGCAGTTTCATTTTTAGAAGTACAAATATAGAGCAACTATATTTTTTCCAGATTAATTTACATTTAAAAAAATGGAACAATGAATTAAGTACCTAAAAAGCAGATATATACTTTAAAAATAATTATGAGGAGCCAAATTCTAATTATTTTTAAGTTAATTATTTTGATTATTGGAAATATATTTTCTCATGATGTGCTCGAACAACTATCACTGATTTTTAAATTATAGTACATTAAATAATATTAACTTTCTGTGCACTTTTAGGGAGAGTTACAGTCACTTTAAACTACTAAAGTATGTGTCCAGCTCTTATTTGTTTTCAAATGATTATTTATCCTAAAACATTTTTCATTTATAAGCTGCTAAATAAAATTAGAAACTTTCAGGCATATTTGGGAGAAGGTAGTGAGTCATCAGCCAACCATATTTTTTGTATAGAAAAATATTACCCTGAACTTTAGAAGGGCGGGATATAAATTAAAATAAATAAATAAATAAATAAAAACTTTTTTCCCTTAGTATTTCAAATGTGTGTGTTATATTTAAATACGTTGAGTTTTAGCAATTTAAATACTGTATATCAAGTAAAAGGTTGATCAGGACCTTGCCAGTAAAATCGCTTATCACATTTTTCTCATTGACTCATATAGCTCAAAGAAAATGAATGGCACATTGGATCATCCTGACCAACCAGACCTAGATGCTATCAAGATGTTTGTGGGCCAAGTCCCACGGAGTTGGTCTGAAAAAGACTTGCGAGATTTATTTGAACAGTATGGTGCTGTCTATGAAATTAATGTCCTGCGAGACAGAAGCCAAAACCCACCTCAGAGCAAAGGTGAGAGGTTTTTTTCTTCCCATCAAGTTTTAAAAAGGCAACATTTGGCTGCATGTAGGGCCAGAGATAGAACCAAAATGACTTAATGATTGGCATCAAGTGTTGTGTACATTAAAAGTTTCACCCAGTTGTTTCCATTATTTATACAAACATGAGTGTTTCCAGGCACCTACTGGTCTTATTCATTTCTATATTTAATAGTAATAGTAAATTACTGTAGTAATAGTAAATATTTAATAATAGTAAATTGAAAATTTTTTATTTTGTTATCTACAATGATATGTGTTTATAATTATTGTCCATTTAATATCCAATGAACATCTTCTACAATATTGGTTTCATAATATACACAAGGCTCTCAAAAGAATCATTTTATAAGACTGAAAATTGTCCTGACCTTCAGTCCAGTTTATAAACTACTAATTTATTAGGAGGACAAGGACATTATTAAAATATGTGAGTCATAAATGAGGTGTGTGGGCAGTTTATTTCAAGAGCAGATGAGTTTTTATTGGGCCAGTTATACTTTCTAGGAATTACAGTTTGGTGGTCTTATATAGTAGAATGATAGAATCTGTGTCACTTCAGATGGTGGGCAAAGGGTGTTGGGGAAGAGGTAATACTGGGAATTTTTTTTAGAAAAATATAGTAAGCCATCTTGTTCTGTTTTTTACTTGCAAGATATTTGGGGGGTTTCCCCCCCCCAATCAGAAGAAATAATTATATTATTTGCTTTACGAACTCACTGGGAAGCATATATTAACAAGACATAATAAACATATAACATTTTAAATATGCTGTCTGATCTAGAAGGAATTCACGTGCAGAACAAATTTATTCTCTCATCCCCTGAAACATTATTAGTAGAAGATTGGAACCGTTTTAGCATAGGAAACTGCATAGGACAGAGTGAGTTAATAAAGCTCCCTTTCCTCCAATAAAATTGTCCACTTTTTGTGGGACATCTCTAGCTCTAACCTAGATTGTTTAAACATAGTCTATAAGTAGGTAGTTTTCATATCATACATTCTACCATAAATTAACCTCTAATTAGTCAAGATTCTTGAAAGAAACAGCTTTCAGTCTTATAAAAAAATTGTTAGTGGTCATGTGAAGGCTACACCTGGAATATGTGGAATTCAAATGTATATTACATGTCTCAAAAAAGTTCAGAATTAGGATGCTAGAAATGCCCAATTTAGATAATTAACTAATGTGGTAATTTAAGCTTGAAGTGGCTTTTAGTATGTGTTACAGAATGTGTTTATTTCATAGGGTGCTGTTTTGTTACATTTTATACCCGTAAAGCTGCACTAGAAGCACAGAATGCTCTTCATAACATGAAGATCCTCCCAGGGGTATGACAAATTATATAATTTCTATATCAGCAAAACCACATTGGAAATACTACATTTTCCCTAGTAGATTGTGCAGAATCCTTTGTCCTACTTTATATTTATGACTTATTTTGTATCTCTTTGTTCAGAATGATTTTTTTTTACAAATAGAATGATAAGTACCTGACTATAACATGTTTCAAATTAATATAGTTACTTTGTGTAAGGGATGGGTGATGCTTTGTAGGATGTTCTCAGGGCTTTGAATTCAACATTTTTTCAAGATTGAAATGTCCCATTTCAGTCACTAAATAGTTTCAAGCCTTCCTAGAAGTGATTTAAGCACAAATAGGGCTAATTCAAATTCAAAATACTATATAAATGGACAGTACAGGCCATTGTGAGCTTGAAATGATTGTTCCATATTGAAAACATTTTGAATTTGTTTTGCATATTCCAAACAGTTTCCAAACAGTTTACTTTATAAAATAAAATGTCCCTCCATTACTTTCTTATCACAGATGCACCATCCCATTCAAATGAAGCCAGCTGACAGTGAAAAGAATAATGGTGAGTGTGTGTAAAAGATTATTTGGCCTTGGTATGTTCTATCACATTGTTGCGGCAACATTCATTGCATTATATGCCAAAATTGCAACTTATGGACACTTTAAAAAAAAATTAAAAGCTCAGATCCCAACAATGCCATCAATGAAATAAATATCCTCTCACATTTTCATGTTATTCTGTTGAAAATCAGAATAAGAAATGCAGCCATTTTTATTTCATATTGAAAAGAAGGCAGCTTCAGAAGTTTGAAACACTTCCGATAATGTTGAAATAGATTGTTTGAAACTCAAAACGTTTGTTTCCAGTTCATTGCTTTTTGCACACAGCTCTTCTACTAAACTGAGAGAGAATAGATTTTTCTGACTCTTGCTCTAGACTGAAGATTCTAGATTGGTGGTGGGAGGGTAAAGAAAGTATTCTGATGCTTATGTTCATTTGGGGGCAACTTATTGATAAATTTTTCTGGATTGTTCTATAAAAGGAACAAGGAAACTTACCCAATCAGGTAAAATAGTCAAGCCACTTTCCTAACTTTTGTTGTTGTTTTTTCTCGTAGCGGTGGAAGATAGGAAACTATTCATTGGGATGATCTCAAAGAAGTGCAATGAAAATGATATCAGAGTGATGTTTTCCTCTTTTGGTCAAATTGAAGAATGCAGAATTCTACGGGGTCCTGATGGCTTAAGCCGAGGTACACGCAGACCTGTTTGCAACTGTTAACTCTTCCCTTCAGACCTCACTTTCTCCTCCTGTCTCCCCATCCCTTGTCTTCCCCCATATATGTCCCTTATATTTAATTGGGGAGTTTTAGAAATGGGCAAGATGCTTCTTCTGTTCAGGAGATAACTTGGATAAACTATTTAATTTTGACTATATTCCCTTCTCAGGTTGTGCTTTTGTGACTTTTACCACAAGAGCAATGGCACAAACAGCAATCAAAGCAATGCATCAAGCACAGACAATGGAGGTAAAAAAAAAATACCAATTTTGAGAGGTTTTTATGTTTGTAGTTCAGTATTGCTAATTGTATTCTAAGGACAATTTAAAGTGTTAGTTGTAACTTTTAAAGCCTACACCATTTAGGGCCTACTATCTGATGATTGAGTTTTATTGACACCCATTAAAGTCAACAGAATACACCCTCTTAAAGATACCTTCACTTGAGATTCTCTTCATGTTTAGCTTCCAAGCTGTAGAATGCACTTGGCCTCTCTTTTGCAGTATTACCAAAGGAGTTAATATTTCCCTTCACAGCCAGATATTTTAGTTTATATTAAAAAATCCCTTAAAATTCTTGTAGAAAGACTTAAATCACTATATTTTCAACTTTTTTTTAGTTTTAAAGGTTTTTTTTAAAATTGTATTGATAACATCAATGGGTGGTAATAATACATCCAAATCATAATACAGAAATGTTTAGTTTAAGCTTTCCAGTTACTATGCTAACATCTCTTCATTCATACCCCCTGCATGGCACATACCCACATTTCTCTCCACTTCTATGCAAAATAGGAAATATATATAAGATACATGAATCTGCATTGGAATTCTGGAATGTTACAGGTTGCTTTAAAAAGCAGACACAGTTTCTGAATGTATGTTCTTTTTAAAGCAATTATTTAAAGAATGTAAATTGTTAGGATTTTGGAAAGATGACAAAAGCTACAGCTGTGTGAATTGTATTGCAGGGATGTTCTTCTCCCATCGTAGTGAAATTTGCAGATACTCAGAAAGATAAAGAACAGAAACGAATCGCACAACAACTCCAGCAACAGATGCAACAGATTAGCGCTGCCTCTGTTTGGGGAAATTTGGCTGGACTGAACACACTTGGACCCCAGTACTTGGCAGTGAGTGTATTTGACAGTTTCTGATCAGAGTTATTTTCTAAATAATTTAACACACATTTCTTGTTTGCAAGTATTCTCATTCTGAGACTCTCTTACAAGCTCAAAAATTGGTAGTGGTAGTAGTGGTAAGTACAGATGATTGAAATGTTTTTTAGCATTGAAGTATTGCCATGTGTTAGGATTTCTATTAGTAAGAAGGAATGTGGCACTTAGTTGAGGACTTATGTTGTAGAACTTATGCATTTATAGAGTAAATAGGGAAATGAAGATTTATTTTTCTTTTTACTACAGTATCAATATACAATACTCTACCAACTTGCACAGCACCCTGCCATATACACAATATGAAGATGTCAGAGCGTGCATAGTCTTATTGCACGAGATAATCCAGGAGTAAACACAGTAAACAGTGGTCTATAGTAAAGGGTGGTTTATCTTACACTATCTACAATATCATATACCAGGAACAATATACATACATGTCCTAATACAGCAGGATCCAACACACCACGGTTACAGGAGGAAAATGGAAGAGAGAACACAGCAGTGGAGCTGTCCTTTTATACAAAGGCTCTTAAGGGTCACAGACCTAGTTGGTTCTTAAAGGGACAGAGAACCTGCTGGCTCTTAAAGGGACACAGACCCTGCTGAGACATTCCCTTCATTAAATCTTACATAAGCTGGTTATCTATTAAATCATTGCCTTGACAGAAGACATTACTGTTACCTGTGGGTTTGCCCATAAGGCTATAAAGCCTTCTTCCCTTGTTTTTATTTACCTTGCCTCCTCTCAGAATACTTTTATGGTATCTGAGTAGGGAGGAGTTGGCAGATAAATGTTTCACCAGTGTTAGAAACCTTTGTAGCCAGTGTTGGTGGCACACTAGCCATGAGTAAATGAAGAATATTTCATCTTGAATTGCATGAGCAATTGGATTGTTCCTTTTTTAATAGCATCCTTCTTGGTATGGATTCACTGCTGCTTTGTGTGTATTGGTGATATGTGTGGTCAGTAAGAATTGTGCTTGTAACGGCATTCTGGCTGTGGTGTAGTGCAGTGTCTCCCAGAAGTGGAGCCAGCCCTCATTCTCACTCTTGTTCTGTTTTTGGTGTAATGTCTAGCTTTATTTACAGCTCCTTCAGCAGACAGCAGCTGCTTCTTCTGGGAATTTGAACACACTGGGCAACCTTCACCCAATGGGAGGTAAGTTTCTTTCAATTCTTTCCGCTTGGGATCTGATAAATAGGGTCAGTAACAAAGTGAAAAATGATTGATGTGCTGTGATATATTAATATTAGTGAAGACAGATCTTGGTTGCCCGTACAAAAGAGCTCAGGCACGTATTCAGGTTTTTAACTTGAATACGAATGTGCAATAGCTGATCTTTTCACAAATGTAAGCACCTTCTCTTTAAAACTTGCTGTGTTCTACTTTATGGGAACAGGTGCCAATCGGACTTCACTATTTAAAAAGGAATCAAGGAATACTAAAGAAAAATTATGGGTCAGTTAATTTCACACCTGTTCCGAAGAAGAATGGTTGAAAGTATTGTTAGAATTAAAAAAAAATATTTAGAAGACTTACTGAAAAGAAATCAGCATGATTTTCAGAAAGATTAGTCTTTTTCATTGATTTTCTAGACTATTTTAGAATGTAAGCAAGTGCGGGGACAAGGCTGATTCCATAAATAACTTTATACCTGGATTATAAATAAAGTCTTTGATACAGAATTATTGTGAACATGTTTGGTGGTGATTTTAAAGATTTGTGTGCCAATATCTTTTTAAACTTTACATTGAAGTACAAAGGGAGGTCTCCACAGCGGGTAAATGGGCTTCAAAATGGCAAATGTACTTCAGTGTAAATAAGTGTAAAATGAAATTGGCACACAAATCCAAACTTCACTTGTATATTTATTGGATCCTAGTTGACAGAGGCTGACCAGAAAAGGGATCTTGAAATTACAGTGGAGAGCTCAGTAAAAAAAAATCAGTCCAATGTGAGCTGCTGTTAAAAAAAATAGAGTGAATGAATTTCATGCAAGGAATCATTAGGAAGATAATTGAAAGTAGAATTGTTGATACAATAAAGAGCAAAAGATATCAGTCCATATGATAGAGGGGCTAGAGATATCAGCAATTAAGAGTTATTTAGCTTGGAAGAAAGGGGGTAAGATTATTGGACTTCTTCCATCAAAACCCATTTCTAATTGATGATGATGCTGGGTCCACCAGTGGTTAATGGTATAGAAACAGACACACTGCATTGATTGATGTATTTCAGGGTTGAATGCAATGCAATTGCAGAATCTAGCTGCATTAGCAGCTGCAGCTAGCGCAGCTCAGAATACCCCAAGTGGAACAACTGCACTCAACTCTTCCAATAGTCCATTAAGTGTTCTCACCAGTTCAGGTAAGGGAGTTGGTTTATTTATTTGTTTTTTGATTAATTAACCTATTTTTGCCTCTTTGCATACATAACAATAGAACCAGTTGCCATGATTTAATTATTAAACCTTGCCCTTTATGAAGATAAAAATTACATCCCAAAACATGTGAAAAAAACAAGGAAGTAGGTGCTTCTGATTTGCTGAATAGTTATGTCATTTTGCTACGTAATTACAGGTGTATAGCAATAGCAATAGCTCTTAGACTTATACACTGCTTCACAGTGCTTTACAGCCATCTCTAAGCAGTTTACAGAGTCAGCATATTGCCACCTACAATCTGGGTCCTCATTTTAGGCTGAGTCAACCTTGAGCCGGTGAGAATCGAACTGCCAAACTGCTGGCAGCCAGCAGTCAGCAGAAGTAGCCTGCAGTACTGCATTCTAACCACTGCGCCACCATGCCTCATGTATACATGCATTCATATTTACAAGGACACACAGAAAACTTAAATTTCACAAGAGGATATTTATTTTTTGTAAGTGTAATTGATCCATTTGTTCAATGAAATACATTGTCTGAAATGTTTTACTACATTCTCTTGGATTTTCTTTGCAGATACAATTTTTTTGAAAATTGAGATAGAATTTGGAAAAATTTGGTTTTCCAGTGACATTATTTGTACCTTATATTACGACATGGCTTGCTTTAATCATGCTTTTTGAACAAGCCAGTTGGTCTTACAGATAAATGTAGTAATGGTTTATTTCCATTTAGTAGTTTTTAAGTTGAACATCTCAGAACTGGATGGGGCAGAAAAAACTACCAAGAATAATACATAGAATCACAAATGAGGCACCTCTGCATAAATCACAGCAAGCCAGTAGCAGATTTCTTTTAACTTGTGGCTTATTGCTGTAAAACAAGGGATTGTTATTTCTAATATTATTTACATATCATAGTAGGCAAAAAGCAAGCCACACAATTGCTTGGCTTGATATTGGAAATTTATTTCTGCTGATTGGAACTAAATGATGGTAATTTTAGATATGGAATAAAATAAATGAAACTTGAGAAAATCACTAGAATTTAAAATTAAACTTGCCTGTGCTTGACTGACCTCTTGCACCTCTTCTTTTTGTTGCCATACTAAGGTATGATATCAGAGTATGGTATGTATACCCATAGTATGGAACAGGGTTAGTCACTGAGCCGTCAGTATTTTGAGATGGCAAAAGAGAAAGAATACTGTGGCCTGGGTCATTCTGCTTAAACAGTAATAAATTGAGAGTTTGTAAGTAGCAAATGATTCTGGCTCACTGGATGAGCATTTCATTGGATTCTACATGGATACTCCAGAGGTTTTTCTTCATTGCAATTTTCATCTAGGCAAAAAATAGCAGGATTGCTTCTGAATGTTGGTAAAAACTCTTGCTATTTCTTACTTGACTCATACTTCACACAAACTAAAAGATACATTTTGGAACCTAGAGGATACAAGGCTAAAGACTGGGGATTGCTGTTCACTGAAAATTCTTTTGGGAAAATAGAAGAGAGAGAAAAAGGAAAGTTTATGCCACTTTCCACTTGATATTTTAGAAGAATCTTGAATGTGCTTTATTTAGGCCTTTCAGAGACAGTGCTAAGTCATTTTGATGCTGTTGGAAGTTCTTGCTGATATTTTAACTCTCTCATTTTAAATAGCAGGTTCGTCACCCAGTTCCAGTAGCAGTTCCTCAGTAAACCCAATGGCTTCTCTTGGAGCGCTGCAAACACTGGCAGGGGCTACTGCAGGCCTGAATGTTAGCTCTTTAGCAGGCAAGTCCAGTGCATTGTAAGCAAAAGTCAGACTCCATCATTGTTTGCTTCATACCCATGTCTCAATTTCCCCTACTTGATCAATTATCTTACTTGAAACCTTATGGGAAAAAATATTTATTCATGTTTTCTGTACAGGAATGGCAGCCTTAAATGGAGGGCTAGGCAGCGGTGGCCTCTCAAACGGCACAGGGAGCACAATGGAGGCCCTAACTCAGGCATACTCTGGGATTCAGCAATATGCTGCTGCTGCATTGCCCACACTTTACAACCAGAGTCTTTTAACACAGCAGAGTATTGGTGCAGCAGGAAGTCAGAAGGAAGGTAAGTAGGAGGCAGTGTTGAGAAAGTTTGTTCTTTAGCTATGTCATACTGAGCCCTGGGTATCATATTATACTCAAAAGACTCTTCTCCAATGATACGGAATCTGAAGTTAAGGATAAAACATGGGACTTATGAACATGTTATAGTGCATTTTGCAGACATTTTTACAGAATATTGTGGCTACTCTCAAAACATCTAATTCTAAAATCCTGTTTAGTTTTATCTTTCACCCAACCAAGAAATCCATTTTTAAAATCGATATATACAGTGTGTTGTTTTTAATATTTCCAGTCACATTTTGGGACCATCTTTAATCATTTCTTATTTATGAGAAAGTACGTAGCGGTTTTTGCATACAGTATCGTTAATCTATACATATGCTTTGCAAGTTATTTGGCCAGTGCTGTTAACTGTTGCAAATTGGAGGGTTGAAATTGCCAAAATCTTGATTTAGTGAAAAAAATTGGTTTAGTGAAAGGTTATCTAATTAATTTTACCTGATGTGAGAGTGCTGTTATTTTATGGATCATATTGTCTCATAGATCATATATTTATTGTGGTTGTATCACATTTTAAACACACGACAACCTTATTGAAACATTAATCTGAAGGTGTAGGCTTTAAAATGGAAAGAGTGATGGCGCTCTGCATCCTTATTTTGAATTGTATTAAGGAAGTACAGCCTAATCATCTTATCAACGTTAAAGCATCACAACTTCCTGAAGTGGGCTAGAATTTATCGTGCCTATGTATTTAATTATCAAGATTTGTTTCTGTATTTCTGGTCTTTGAAACTACAAATAATGGTCCTTTATTTTTTTAAAAGTATTTTTTATTTTTACTCTATTGTCATTTGTTCTTATTTAAAAATGAACACTAGGTATCATTTTTAACATTGCAAGATAATTAATTTCTGCAGACAGATTTTTCACTAATAGCGTGAGTTTTGACTGTATTTTCTGTATTAAAATCCAAGAAGTTCTACTTATTTTAATTTCCTTCTAAATGGATATTTTAAAGGTCCAGAAGGAGCCAATCTGTTCATCTACCATCTTCCCCAGGAGTTTGGGGACCAAGACCTGCTACAGATGTTCATGCCTTTTGGGAATGTTGTCTCTGCCAAGGTTTTCATTGACAAGCAGACCAATCTGAGCAAATGTTTTGGTATGTTCTGTTACATTGTTTTTCGTAAAAGAGAAGAATATTCATATCAAAGCAGTTGTTCGGAAGGTTTGTCCCACCGTCTTCCTCTAGTTATCTCTCTCAACTTCTCCCCTCAGAAAACAATAACCAGCTGATGTATAATGAACTGGTACAGAAACTTACTGTGAAACATTTAAGTCAGTATAAGTTGCTGTTTTGTAGCTAGCAGCTTAAGTAAATAGATGCATTGAAAAAAACATATTGTAGTATTTCAAGTAACTAAAATCTTTTAGCTGAAAATATATCCACTTGCTTGTGCAAGCAAGTTATATGTAAGCAAAACATAGTTAAATAAAGCAACATGACTCTAAACTTAAAAGTAGAGTTAGTATGATTGCTCGGTCATATATTTAACAATTATACTTACTAAAAATTACAGGTTTGGATGGCATCTGGAATATTCTAGCCCTTCTTTTCCAAGAAATTAAACTTATCAGTAGAAGAATTGACATTTACAGATTGTATCTCTAAAAAGACACTAACATCTGCTAGTTTGTTTTAGTCGAGTAGGGAAATTTTGCCTCAGTTGTATTTTTTTTTAAAGTCCTATTCTATCTCGTATGCTTTATCTGTAATTACACTAAAAGTTAAGATTGGTTTTGTATTAAAAGCAAAAATGCAAGCTGTGGTGATGGTGGGTGGGGATAATGATGATGATGATATACTCAGATATTCTTATCCTCTAATTGCACTTAACTGTGAGTTTTTCTTTTCTTAGGTTTTGTAAGTTATGACAATCCAGTCTCTGCACAAGCTGCCATCCAGTCAATGAATGGATTTCAAATTGGCATGAAGCGACTGAAAGTTCAGCTCAAGCGCTCTAAGAATGACAGCAAGCCATATTGAGTGCCCCTCCCCCTGGAACTGGAGTGAGAAGGATCTTCTGGTAAGTTGGGGAGGAGCCCACTTAGGGATTCAAAAACTCTTTAAGGCTGTATTTTTACAGTCACAGAAGCTGATTGATACCATTCTGTCTGGCACATCTTCTCCTGAAGACTCAGCTGCAGCCTCTACTGGGAATTCTGCGAATGGAGGACAACTTTGTGCTTTTGTTTCCAGTGTTTTACTTTGGAGCTTAGGTGCCATATCACTATTTTTTTTTTAAAAAAAAAAAAGTTTGCTGTGTTTGTAACCGTGTTTTTGAGAAGGACCAATGCCAGCCACCTTGGAGAGGAAAGGAAAATAGTAAGTGCAATTGGAAATGACACTGCATGACTTAGATATGAGGAGACCCCAATGATACTCATGAAAGGGGGAAGCAGGAAGCTGAATCCAAATCACATGGTGGTTGGTTAATGAACAACCCCTAAGGAACTTTGCCAAGCTATTTGCTAGATTTATTTAGTAAATGCCTTATGTGAGAACTGTATACAGAATCAGTCAGTTGGAGGATAATAGTTGGGCAAAAATATTCATGTGGTAAAGGAAAAATGCAGTAATTATAATGCTAAAATACGTTTGTATAGTGCAATGTGTGTGGTTGCAGCTTATAAAAGTATCCAGTGATGTTTTCTGATCAGCTGTTTACACTTTGGACAGAACAATCTTTTTTAAAATTGGATAATATGAATTAGTGTTTCAATTTCTTGGAAACTACACTTGAAGTTAGTTGGTTTAATGCAGCTATCTACACTTTAGGCTGTAATCCAGGAATTCCTGGATTTAATTTACAATCTTATTACAAATCCAATGTCTCATGATAAAATTTGTTCTTCCCCGTTCTAGAAATTGTACATGAAGGTGTAACTAGAAATGGTGCTCATAAAGTACAAGTTAAAACCTCCTTAGTGTTAAACTGACAGTTGGTTTTAAAATGAGCTCTTATTGCTCTGATTTCTGACATTTTTTTTTCAACTTTGTGTGAGCGTGTGTCAGAATAATACTGGCCCAAAGATTTTTCTTGTTGCTTATATAGATTTATTTTTCACAAATATTGTCAGCTTATTACATAGCAGTTTTCCTTTGAGTGTGTGCTAGTACAAAGGAATAAATTCAAAGGTCTGAATCTGTGCAGGATTTGGATCTGGTCTACATACTGCCTGAGCCCAGTGCCTAATAATTCAAAGTCAGATTTCTTTCCCTTCTAATACACATCCTTTTTTTCACATGGGTGTATGCCAAAAGCATTAAATTTTTATATACACTGTAGGTCTGAGTCCAAAGGGAATTTTTAACAGTATGAGTTGAGCCATGGCAAGAAATTATGTAAAATCTAGCCTTGAGGCTAGAAAAAGCTACTCCTATTGTTAGGAAAGTTTACAGTGTTATATTCAGTGTATTGCTACATTGGATGGAAAAAATAATCTCCAATGAAGATTCAAAAGCTCATCAAATTTGAAATGCCATTGTATAAGATAAAAATCTCCAATGAAGATTCAAAAGCTCATCAAATTTGAAATGCCATTGTATAAGATAAAACTCAGTGGGAAAACCAGGTGTTTACTAGGGACTGGGTCCCCTTGTTTACTAAAACTGAGGCATTATAACTTGTGTAAGGCTACCCATCTGTGATTCAAGTTGTTTTTCTGATGAATTTGGAATCTCACTGCAGATTTATAACTTGATGAATGGCATAGTAAAAATTTAAACAGCGTTTATTTAAAAAAGCATATACAGTGGTGATAAAAAGGTGGAATGGTCAGATTGCCAAATTTTCCATTTGTGCTGGCATGTGGTATCCTTCAGTGTTGAATATTTGGGGTCTAATTTAAAAGCATATGCATACACTTAGATAACTGTATACCACTTGATTGTTTGTGCACTAGGAGAAATTTTATCCTGATATTATTAGGATGGGGGAGTGTTGGAGTGCTGAGGGTCCCAGAATTGTCAAGGGATTTTTTTAAATAAAAATATACTTTCAGGAAAAACAAAGAGGTCATGGTTGGGAGCAGTTGCTCCAGTTGCAACCTGATATAACCAAGAATGTTGTTTCTATTTTTATAGAAGTTTTATACTGCTCCAGGGTGGAGAATATTTATTATCTAAATTATTTCACTGGATAAGACCAGGGTTTTGCATAATCCTGAATGTGATTGTGTAATGCATACATAAACAATGTGCATGATTGAAACTACTGACTTTCAGTGGCCTGTTTGTAACGAGGCAAACTGCTAAATAGGATAAGAATTAATGCTGTGAACCAGTGGAGGAGGAAAGCTGTGCTCAATTTTTGCTATAGTCACTCCTCCCAGTACTACTACTCTTCTCAGTCACTATTACTAGCTTTTCTAAATACTTTGTTGCTATTTATTCAATGTCCATATACTTTGTAACTTTTCTTTATGCTTCCATTATGACCGCTATGGGGCAACTTTCCTCCTGTTGAACTAGCAACACAATATTTGTGTTATGCTTATCCTATAATACAGTATTTCCTTTCATAGGTATGATCAGCGCAAGTGCCCTAATTCCACTGTCAGAGTTACCAAAGTTAAAAATGCAGGTTAAATTCTAAAAATGGGATCTTTGGAATAGATTGGCAGAATTCCTGTGCCTTCAGTGGTGCCGTAAGATAGAATGCTTCAACCAAAATACTTGTTTCTTCTCAGTGTCCCGTGACCTGGCCATAAATGCTTTTCAAAACAAATAATGAAGATTTGTTTCCCAGGGAGAGTCCCACTTGGCAAGAAAATGAATCTGGTTTATACAAGGATACATATAGATGCCCCTCTGAGGTTTTGCTTCCACATATTATGCTGTTTTCTGCATAGATTGTTACTCTGCCTTCTCCCTCCACCCAATTTTTGGCAGAAAATCGGTGAAGCCAATCAAATTGGAACCTAATCATTTAGTTACTTGATATCATAATTGCTTATACATACATTCTCAGATTAAAATAGTGCGTTTGGTAATACATATGCAGAAGGCTGAAATTGATAAAGAACTCCCAAGTTATACTGAAAATTATATTGACCAGAGTTGGCATTCATGAACCAAATTTTGCAACGACGAGAGCCTGAGTTAGTTATTGGGAGAGAGGATGGATAACTTTAAAACAAATAGTCATCATGGTTTTGCAAGTAGCTTTTTAACTACATATTTTGTTAATTCATGTGAATGGATAGATTCTGGGAAAGAGAAAAATGTTCTATTCAGGTTTTTGGATATGTATTTTATGATAAAAATAAAGACTGTCGTATTTTAATTCAGCAAGCTAACTTTCATAATCTCGCCCCCCCCCCAAGGGTAGGAGCAAGTGTAATCTTTGCTGTTTCCTTAATTCAAACATATTTGGGCAAAAGACACTGCTTCTTAAAGGGGAGGTTGAGAAGTAGGGAGGGGTGCCCGAGTCAGATCTTTGCCATCTTTGAACCTGAACGTTGCACACCTATAGTTAAGATTAGAGGTTTTTCTGCCAGTGGGAGTCTTCTTGGGTTCACTAAGGATACTCCAGGGAAGTGGCTTTACTAATGTACTTCTCTTAGTGTTACTATCAAATTCTTCAAATATCCCCAATCCTAGGATATTCAGGGGTATGGTGAATTATAATGAGAAGGAAAGTTAACAAGGATTACCCCTCCCTTGTTTCAGCTGAAGAAGGGTTGCCCTAGATCCAAAACGTCAACTAACGGAAGGATGGTTTGTTTAAGGATCACTCATTTTGATTCCAAGCCAGTGTTGTTTTTAAGTAAGTTTAAAATTAAATAACATAGAGTAGCTTGACATTTGTTAAAAAAAAGTAAATTATATTCACACAAATGTATACTTCATTTGTATTACTCAGCTGAAATAGGTCTCTGTATTTAAATCAAAATGTTGTAACATGCATTTATTATAATTAGGATGGAAGGGAGGGCAAATCTAAGAACAATACTTTTTCCAATAATCGTATGCTGCTTCAGACAATTGCTTATGAACACTATGTTAAGAGAATGCTTTAATGTGTTTGTCCTTGATATTTAGGTCTCTTGTGTTGTGATCCTGTTAGAGCAGTGTTTCTCAACCTTGACAATTTTAAGGCATGTGGACTTCAACTCCCAGAATTCCACAGCCAGCAATGCTGGCTGTGGAATTCTGGGAGTTGAAGTCCACATGCCTTAAAATTGTCAAGGTTGAGAAACACTGTGTTAGAGATTCTGTCACTTTGAAAATCTCTTACAAGTCTCTGCAGATAAAAAATCCTTCCTTTCAAAACTGACAGAGGTGACTGTAGAACTTTTGAGAGTCCAGAGTTCCTCCTCACAGAATCAAAAGAGCAAGATTTATGTATTGAAAAGAGTTGCAAAATGAGGGTGGTGGATTTTTTTTTGCAAGTATCATAGTAAAAAGGGCTCAGCTGCAGCAAGTCTTAACTTGCAGTCAAGTCTTAATTCTTTCTGTGGGGGGGGGGGCATCAGTTTTACTCACACAGTAAAAACGTGTTTAATGTCATTTACTGCCAGAATCTACATACATGTGCATACATAACGCATACATATGAGTTCCAATTGCCTAAGTATGCCCCATAGTAAGAAGAAGAAAGTGTTAAACTCTCAGTGCCCAGTGATCTCTGCTTTGTCCTTCCACCTGTCATGTGAACTGTCCTACAATTACATTTTGTGAAGTCAGGTTCTCGTGGAAGAGAGGGGTGCTACCTTCCTCATGAAGAGGTAACAGGAACACTGACTTAGAGCTGCGTTTGAATGCACAGCTGTATGCCGCTAAGTCAGACTCCATTCTGTAGCCAGAGTCTAAAGGGAATCCCAGGCCTCTGTTCCATTTAATTTCTGACAGTTTTTACATTTATTTGGTGTCTTATGCACTTCAACTTTTACTTGTTCATTGTTAGCATGTGCTGCCCTTCCTCGTCAGCTCCCCTCCCCAAGAGGTCTCATTGTACAGTGCCCATTCCTGTTTCACTCTCTTCTCTCTTTCTCTCTCTGTTTGGATGTACTGTTCTGTGTAACTCAGTAGGTCTCCTTCTTTCTGGTTTGTTTTTTTCTAGATTCCTGCCGTTTGTTCATCGTTGTGCCTAAAGCATGTCGATGTGGCGTTCAAGTACATCGTCCAAATCCTTGTCTCTTCAGCTTCTCTGATGCTTGAACTCTCACCCTTTGACCTTGTGTTGACTTTTGATGCTGATGTGTATTTTATTATGTTTGTTTCTTCTTTTTTTTCCTTCTTTTTTTTTGTGCTGCCAAATTGGTTTTGCTAGAAAGACTGCTGATGGGGAATATTTAAACTTGCATTTGAATATAAAAGAATTCTATTTTTCTAGAACTTCATAAGATAACCACTTGATTTTGTGATTCTGATCCTTTGTAATTGTCTTCAGAGCAGCCTTGCTAGCATACCTCGTGGAGTATTTGTATTTCTGTGAACATACAGCCAATCACTTTCTAGGCTTAGTTTTTTCTGTGTGCTTAGTTTCAACAAAAACCTTTGAAGGAAAAAGTAAAAGGATGCAACTCAAAAGCTTTCAGGAGGCTTCTGGTCACATTTTGCTGAACCTACTTGCCATGCTTGAGAAGAGAGCATGCATTCTTTGACTTGAGTAGCTTCAGCAGAAAACACTTGAACTACACTTTTTCCTGATTGTAGCTGCATTTTTGCCCTGGCACTTAACTGCTTTTTCCTTCCTGTGTGATTATCAGCCTTTGTCTGCAGTGAGAATTTAATCAAAGTTGGTGTTGTATTTTGTTAAACCTTTGCATGCTTAGTTTTTTGTAACTACAATCTCCTCAACAAAATGTGAGTTTTTGTTTTTTGTTTTGTTTTTTTCTTTTAAAATTTCAAATAATGCCCCTGTAAACGTTTTGCATGTTTCCTGCTGTGTTCTTCACAATCCTGTATATATACACCCTTCACCTCTGTTTTCTATAGTTGGTGCAAAAACTGAGCAATTTATTAGGTTTCAAAGCTGTCCTTTTTTGGGATGCCAGACTTGTGATCATATGTCATGTAAGGACATCTCCTGTGCATTTAGACTGCTTTACACAGTATCTGCACCTTGCTCTATTATCACAGCTATGGAAAGGTCTCAGGGGCTTGATTGCACTGTTCAGATGGTCATGGTGGCAGCGGCAGGGATACAAGTTTAACAGAAAGATGTGGGATGTTTGCGTAATACTGCTTCTGAAATCCTTTGGAGCCCAGGCTCCTTTGGGGTAGCCTTAATTTGTACCTCTTGTTTAATATGCGACTTGCTTTTGTGAAATTTTAACACCACTAACTCTCAGTGAATGGAAGCTTGATTGCTCTCCAGTTCTTACACTTGAAATAGCATGTCGTATAGATCCCATAGAAGGAATCTGTAAGCCTAGGCACAAAACTGCTGGCTCTTTCTCCAAGTGACAAGCACAATATAACAGCACGTTGGCTGTTACCTGAACAGGGTACCAACCCCGGCTCCTTTTCTCAGGGGCCTTAGCTGGGGGAATCTCCTCTGTGGAGAATTTTTTTTTTAAAAAAAAAAGTTTTGTTCTTTAATTGGGTTAGGAGACATGCAGTTTTCTTTTTTCTTTTTTTCTTTCTTTCTTTCTTTCTTTTTTTTCTGGCCTGATGAAGAAACAGGACAGATTATCCTTCTCTGGGAAACATGCTTCAGCTTTGCTGCACATATGATCTGCTTTAGAAGCTGAGATATAGTCCAGGACTTCACAGCACCTTGCAAAAAGTCCTGTGGTAGGTGCCTAAAGCACAAGGGGCAACGGGGTGGAGGAGAAGCTATGAAGGAATTTTAACAGGAGGAAGGAATGTGAAACAAAAACATTTGGAGAGTAGAAACATCTAAGAGATCTATCTAGGCCTTAGGAGGCTTTCACTCTATTGTTGGCAAACACCAGCTGCCAACTCTCTTGCTGGATGGGTCATCTCTCTCCGTAGTTGTTTTTCTCTCAACCTTGTGATCAGCATCTCTTAAGGATGAGAGTGACTTGAAAGGGGATATCATTGTGTTATTTGGGGTACAGCTGTGAGATGATTGACCTTAGGCTCACAGTCACAATGCACAGGGGTGTCTGATGGCAGGGAAGTCAAGGCCTTGCAGTGTATTAATTAATTTTGCCAATACATTTCTTTCTAATGCGCATACTGTTTCATGAGAAACTCTGGAGAATCCTGTGGTAAAAAAAAATCTCTGGAGAAAACCAAAATGCCAAACATTAGATGTTCCTTTCCTTTCTTTCCTTTGATTGTTTTAATAATTCTGTGGTGGTTTTAATGGAATTGAGACAGTAAAGCAGCAGCTGCCTTTTATTTCTAGCTGCTTTTTGTGAATAATTAAAAAAAAAAAGAAAATTTACATTTTGGAAAAAAAAACCTGTGGGCTTTTTTATTGGTACAAACATTGTATTTAACACTAGGGGTTTTGTACAGTTTTTTGCCTTTTCTACTAGAAAACAATGTAAAGTGATTCACAAATGTGACAAGAAAACAAATTGCCACTATGACCAAATGTAGAATCTGTTCTGCAGTTTAACAGGATTTAATCAATTCAAAGTCGTGATTCTGTTGTAGCAAATGCTTTTCTTTACCCTGTTTGAACTGTTCCTTTTTCTTGTTTGATTTGCAAAACAAAATGTCTTTTTTGTGTGAAATTGTGTTGTACTCTGTAGAAAATTATGGATTTTACTTTAGTGGTTAAAAAAGAAGCACATGTTGCTTTTCTGATCACGGAGTTTGTGTAGTGGATTTAAAAATGAAAGTTTTGTTACAAGTTTGGAACGAGCGAGTATGTATTAAGGAATTTTCTTCCTTTTGTGTGTGGTTTCTTTTTGTCCCACTGGGGAACTTAAAGCTGTTTTAATTGCACAGACACACAGACAAGAAGTCATTTTGTATATGCCAAGTGTGGTATCTCCCTTTGTTTATTTGCTATTAAACTGTTTGAGAAGAAATTTCTGTGTCATCCTTGTATTTACTTATACAGAACAGGCAAATTGGTATCCGGGTATTTGAAAAAAGGGTTGCTTAGTCTAAATGTATGAGGAATATATACATCATTTTTTTTCTGTCACTGGCATGCTGCTTCCCCAAACACAAAAGCTCACCTTTTCCCCCCCTCTCTTAATTTAAATTATTTTTCTGAGGATTTTACTTTAAGGTTTACTTTCTTTCTATCCTTGATGTAAATTGGCTGGGCCAGGATCAGTTTCATCAAAGATTTTTCTGGTAGCTAGTATATGAAATATAAATATATACATGAGGAATAATTTATTATAGAAACGTGCTTCTCCATTCAGTTTTTTTCTGCTAAGTTTATCTTGTTTACATCACCTTGAGTAAGCTGCCACATTTTTAAAGCATAAAAATAATATAAGTAATTTGATAGATTCTTTCTAATTTCTGCAACTATATTTGCGTCTTTAAGTGCCCTTGCAAAACGTCAACGCTTCCTATTATAACTTTATTATAGATATTTATATTGAATATAGATTATAATTATTTGTACTACAAGCAAATAAATCTTGCAGAATATAGTTCCTTAAAATTGTTTTTACTTTTTACCAAATAAAGGAAGCAAAATCCTACAAGATAAGATTATGACGTTTAGGCAAAAATTAATTTAAAAGTCAACTAACTGGAATTCTTTTTTTTTTAACTTTTATTTTTTAATAAGCACTAAATCCTATCACCTTATAATTACCAAAATAATAATTGTTTGGTTTCCTCCTTGGATCAAGTTAAAATGAGAAAGGTGTCATGTTTGTTCTTATAATAACTTTTTATGAGTGTGCATGAACTATTTCTGCAATTTTTTTTCCTGCTAGAATAATCCCTATAAATGATTTTGGAAACGTTTTAAATGGCCTAATTTCAAATGTATTGGGTGAGTATTTAGTCATCAGTCAACAGCCATCTGTTGGACTATAACAAAATTCTGCATCACCTGTTTTGTGGTACATTAAACAGCAGAAGGTTGAAAAGTTATTTTGGAATCATTTGTAAGCGTGAATGGAAAACTGAGGAAACACTTGAACAATCAATTTGACATTGATAAAAGATGATTACAAACATTATATTTCTTATATGTTCATACTAAAGTGAAACCAATGTTGAATGAGGTTAAGAACTGTGTAAGAAAAGCCTCTGCAGTGCTATTGGTTTCTTATCTCCCCCCCCCCCATTAAATGTTTAAAAATCTAATCAATCTTTAGATAAACCATACAACTTCAATCAATCATAGACACAGTTCAAGATTTCATGCTATATTTTTTTAATAAAAGGTGATGCTCAGACCAAGCCAGCATAGGAACACAAGTCCCTTAAAACATAATCTGGTTATTAAATGTACTTTCATGGTTTTTAGTTCCAGCCTGATTTAGATTCTTGAATTCTAAGAAACAATTTTTAAGAATTAAAAACTTGATTCCATTGAAATCCCAGCACCACTATTTAAGTATTTATCATATTCTGAGATGAATAATTTTCCATGTGGTTCAATTGGCATTAAGAATTTAGACAGGGATGTATCTGATTTGGAATTGGATCTCATACATTTTATAAAGTATTTACATAGCTACTAAATTCCAGCTCTTCCCAAAGTTTTTATTAGCTACTATTGCCATCATGTGTAAAAAAAATCATATGGCATTTTATCACATACTAACTCGAGCCTGGTCCTCACTTGCAACAAAATGAGATAACAGTGAATTGAACTGCAAGTGAAGGAATTTCTGATTTTTAATTCTATTCGAATTAAATAAAGTTGGTTACAGTATAATGTTCTGATGAATAGTTTTTATGGATACTACCTTTTTAATACAGAGAAGTATTGAAAATAGATTATTTCTAATCTGGGATGTAATCTCCTGCTGTATGCTTAGAGTAATTAAAAGCATTTCTAAGTAGATTATGTTAGAATTAAATGTTTAAAATTGGCTCTGAACGTTGGGCTATATAATGCAAGGGAATAAGAAGAAATTCCAAGAGAATTTTTTTCTCTCTCTAGTCTCAAAAATAAAACATTGCAGTAGCAGTTTTAGAGTATTGACTTACATAGGTGTCATTAACTGTCTTAGCACCTCTACAGCTACTGATGTTTGAAACTGAAAAAGAGCTTGGATTGCCAGCTGACATATAAACTAGCTTGATGTGCAGAATTTTTTTTAATCACATTCAGGTGACGTTAACTTGATTCCTGCAGGTAAGCTGCTCTTCCAATACACTGCAGAAAAAGTTAATGAAAAGTTGAAAATACAGCATTATCACTAACATTTGTGCATAAATTAGATACCATAAATCCGATTTTCATTCTGACTCAATTGGGAATTCTATATTACTGTCAAGTAAGCCTTCTGTCTCCCAGTATCAGTCTTTCCTATGTACTGGGACTGTTTAACAAATTTGGAAGGGTGATTCCAATAAAATGATATGTGTATTCACATTATTTCCATGCTGCCCCAGATACAGACTCTGAGTGACTCACTATAAAAATAGAGAAGCACATAAAGCAGCATTTCAGCATAAAATCCAATAAAGTTAAAATTACAGCAACTGCATAGATATATTGTAGGTGTTGAGAAATGCCCAAGCTGGGAGGACTTAAGCTGGGGGTTAGCCTTGAATTGTTGCAGAGCCACAAGAGAACCAGAACTGACACCACTATCCTCTTCCCAGGCTCCATAGAACTTTATCAGTTCCCAAGAGAAGGCAAGCAATCTGGGGAGATTCCTGTATAATAGGCAGAATGTAGTAAAGTAGTTAGCTTGAACTCTACGTGTGTGGATCTAGCTGCTTGTGCCTGACAGGCATTGTATCTTAACAACCTACACTTTGTAAATCTGGCAGACAAGGATCCCATTCCTCAAAAAATGGGCAGTTATCTTATTCTTCCTTAGGGCCACAGCAACATCCCTTCTCAGTATGGGCAGAATCAAAAAGTACACTGTCACAAAGGTAATAAGGATGCAAGCCATAAACCAAGGGTGTTATAGGTCATCCCCAGCATTTTGTAAACGTTTAATAACTAGTGCCATACCATAGCATAGGTGCTACTTTGCTAAAATAATTTTCATCCTTAGGCAGTTAAATTTTTAAACAATTGTAATTTCCATATATCTGAAAAGGCAGCTTCAAGTGGAACACATTATAGTAATCTAAGTGTGAACTGATTGGCTGTTATGCAAGTCTCATATTCCACAAGAAAAGGTGGTTGATGTACCAGATGAGTGAAGGTCCTGCTGGCCATGTTTGTACTTGCTTTCAAACAGGAATCGTGAATCCAGGAGAAACCCAGTGCTCCATCTGATGGGAGTTCGACCAAATCTAAAATCAGTGTTGAAACTGACATGAAACCAGAGGACTTCTGGACCTACAGCTATTTTTTTTTTTTTTTTTGCTGGGATTTAAACTGAATCTGTTTTATCCCATTGAGTCCCTCACAGCTTTCATACATCAGAGTAGGATTTCCACTGAGTCTCCTGCTCAACCAAGAAATAGAGCTGTGTATCACCTGCGGTTCAATTATGCTTCACCCCAAGCCAATAGATGACCTTTCATCGTCGTTTCCTATAATGTTAAGTGGAAAAGAGACAAACCCTGTGGTATCTTAGACGGGTGGTCAGGTACTTAACCTCTCATTCCTCCAGCATTCCTGATAAGGACCCATTTTGTTAGGAAGAAATAGCACCATTTTGTTTTAAAAGCAAAAATATGTATCAGGGGTGTGAAACTGGCAGCCTGCAGGCCGGATGTGTCACGCGCAGGCACGCTCACCCCGGCTCCGCAAAGGTATTTCATGATACGTCACGTGACGCAATCGAGTTTTACACCCGTGTTATATATTATTAAAGGTTGTCCAACACTGCTAGCTCAACTGATGATTTCAGGAAGAAGTGCATCACAGCTTCCTTCAAGATGGTTGGTATGACTCCCCCTTTTCTAAGCATTTACTACACCTAAAATGCAGTTGCCTGTTCTTTTCTCTGATATCTCCAATAAACTCCCAAGGAGGCCGAGCTAATACAATGTAAAGCTGTCCATTTCCTTGGCTTCAACAGGTTCAAAAGAATGCCAGGTGACTTCACAAGAGATTGCCTCAGTCACCTCATTGTTTTCTGCCCGTGATGTGTCCAATTCACATGAGCAATTTTATCCAAAAAATGCCTAGCAAACAAGTCACAGCGGCTTGTAAATCTGCTGGTAGATTCAAAGATACTGTAAGAATATTACTTTGTTTCATTCTAATCCCTTCCACTCCAAGTGTCAATGTTTGTCATAGCTCCCTTTTTTTATTTCTGCTTAGTTCCCTTTTCATTTTCTTTCCTTTATGCTTCCATGTTTCATATATTCCAGGGGTAGGCAACCTTGGCTCTTTTATGACTTGTGGACTTCAGCTTCAACGACTCAGGAATTCTGGGAGCTGATGTCCACGAGTCATAAAAGAGCCAAGGTTGCCTACCCCTGACATATTCCTATGTTCATTTCCCCAAAGAAAACAGAAATAGCAATGAAGTATCCATAAATTATCTAGCTTCTCACGTCCTCTTGCATTCTGAAAATAATATTCTTTGGGCTCACATTTTCAGAAAAAGCTGATTGCAGTTCAGCCATTGGAATAAATGCTGTCTTAAGGAAACGGCATACTTTTTTTTTTCTTTCACATTATAGAGTAAGATACACCATGCTAGGATGGGGTTTTAGGATGACTGTCAAATGACTGACAGTCACTGGCAGGTGACAGGTGACTTGACACAGAACAGCGGAAATACCTTAAGCTAGAATAATGAAAATTGACAAGCAGCAGTTCTTCAGCTGTTCCTCTTTCTTCCTCCAATCCTTGGTTGCCAAGAAACAGCTTGCTTGCTTGCTTGCTTGCTTGCTTTCTCTCTCTCTCTCTCTCTCTCTCTCTCTCTCTCTCTCTCTCTCTCCCTCCCTCCCTCCCTCCCTCCCTCCCTCTCTCTCTCTCTCTCCCTCTCTCTCTCTCTCTCACAAACCATTCTTGATTTATCTCTGTCATGGTCTCCCAAAAGTAGTTTCTTAACAAAAAATCTCTCAGCGGTTGCAACTTCCCTTGTAAGGTAGAGAGAACAATCCCCTGGTTGTTTTGATTGTTCCTTTTTGCATTTTTATCAGTCATGTAGCATTCCTTTTTTTAAAAAAAAAATCCAGTTGTCAAAACTGAAACAAAATACTGTACATAAAGGGCTTGTTTCTAGCTCTATCTAGTGGTCATCCCACTAGAAATAATTCTAGTGAATGATTTTTTTTTCTGTTAATTGGTTGAGGAAAAGCTTTTTCCTTTTCAAGCTCTGAAAGTTCAGCTCCAACCTCCTTCATTTTGCGTTTGCCACTGTACAACAACTCGTGGAAGAAAGGCTCCATTTGCCCTCTCCGATGTATTTATATAAAGGCAGCGTAGAGGGAAGGAGATTGGTTGCTCAGGCTTGCTTTCTGACCTTGGGGGTTACCAAGTCTGACATTCCTGTGAGATCACATGACAAGGATTGGCGGGCACAGCTGTCCCCAATGGAAGGGAGGGGCTCGGGAGGGGCCATTCCGATTGAATTTCACTCCAGCCACTTAGGCTCTTTCCTGGCTGTGCTTTTCTTGCCTTCCACTTTCTTTGTGACTTGGGCTGTAGAAAGCTCTGATAGGATAGCAGCACCGAGGATGCTATTCTAGACGATTAGGGTGGTTGCTTCAACATTTGGGTGGGCCTTTCTTCTCATCTCCGATGGACATTCCTCCAGGCTGAGCCATCTGAGATCCTGGTGGGCCCCGCGCTTTGGCACCAAGCAGTCCATCCTCTTGTTTGAGCACCAACATCACTGTCACCGTTTCTTTTAGCCCATCTAAACAGCCACTCCGACAGGTCTGCTGCTCTTCCGACAAGTTGGTATATGCAGTTCCGGAGCACGAAGGCGATGGGACAGGACCAGACAAAGCAGCAGATAGAAAAAGGACTCCAGCTGTATCAGTCCAGTCAGACGGAAAAGGCCCTTCAGGTCTGGCTGCGGGTTTTGGAAAAGAGCACAGATCCAGCTGGCAGGTTTCGAGTCCTGGGTTGCCTCATCACTGCTCACTCGGAGATGGGCAGGTACAAAGATATGTTAAAGGTAAAACATTCTGATTGGCTGCGTGTCTTTTCCTCTTGCTATGTTACAGAGAGGGTGGTGGATAGAAAAGAAGGGCTCCAGATTACAGTTCGGCCACACTCAAACAGCAAACGTAGCACTGGTTAAAATTGCAGATACTGAAGCCCTGACAAATCCTTACCTTTGAAGATTGCCATTCTGCATTTCCACCTGCAAGTCCTAGACCTAATGAGCAATTTACATGTTTGTTATCTGCAGAATTAAGTAATGATGGGTGTTAACAATGTTAGCCATTTGCATGCCTACCTGGGCGTTCTGTGGTTTTGCAAAACGGAGACACGGGATGCCGTGGCGCGCCTTTGCTTCGCAAAATTGTCAGCTGTATAAGATAACTGTAGGTTAAACAGTATGTGTATGTGCACGTGTGTGTACACAAACACATGTGCACACAAAGTTTATACTGTGATGCTAGAGAAGGTATGTTTCCAAATGGCACATCATTAGATTTTTTTCAGTATTATTTATTTGAATGGAACGTTCTCTTTTTTTTTTCTGTTCAAATCACTACTGTCAAACTGTGATGGTTGCCCTAGAAGCTGCCCAGATCGCTTTTCAGAGTGAGATGGGCAGCATATAAATCTAATAAATAAACAAATTCACTGAGACATTGTTTTCTTTTAAATGTTGCTTTGGAAGATCTTAAGTTTAAGATCTAACTTTTGGGGAAATACTGTGGAAATCTTTCATCATTTTCATTATACATTGCCTTGATTCCAAAAGTCCTTTCTTTTTAATTATTATTTCTGCTTGAGGGGTGAGAAGGGTTTTTATGAGGCAATCCAGAGAGCCATGGCTGAAATGAGATGCGAATTAGGATTTTCCTAATCTCTTGTGGATGCAACTTTAGATCTTCTGGAAAACAGGAAAGAGAAACCTGTGGAAAATCTCAGTACTGTAGTATTGAGCTAGAACCCTGAACCCCCCACTGGTGTTTTACTGGTAGTCCTCAACTTATAACAGTTCATTTAGTGACCGTTTAAAGTTACAGCAGCACTGAAAAAATAACTTATGACTGTTTTTCACACTTACAACCATTGCGGCATCCCCAATGGTCACGTGATCAAAGTTCAGATGCTTGGCAACCGACTCCTATTGAGGAAGAAAGGTTGTAAAATGGGGCAAAATTCACTTAACCAATGTCTCAGTTTGGGCTCAATTGTGGTCGTAAATCAAGGACCACCAGTAGTTGCAGTTTAGAAACATCCCCATATTTGGTTAAAAGTTATATAGACTACTATATTTATATTGTGCAATTTGGGGGTTGTAAATGGTTTTAAGAAGCTTATTAAGGGATCGAGACTGATAAGCCTGTGGGCTTTCAGTTACGGTACATTTGTGTTAATGGGCCCCTTGACGAAAATATTTAGGAACAGTATTTTTTGCAGATGTAGTAACAACTAGGTTGTAGAGCAGGGCTTTAGTATTTACATCTACATCCAAATGGGATCTATAAACAGCAAGCAAAAGCGAGATGTACAACTACTTTTGGAAGGGCTGATTAGAGATTTCTAATGTTAATTTTTCAATTTATGGGAAGATTTTTTTAAACTAGCCATGAGAGATCATGCATAGAACAAAAGAATATTGTTTAAACGGTGGATATCATATGCTGATTAGATGACAGAAAAAAAAACCCCACATTATTTTATAAGAAAAGAGTTCATCCATCCATGTGTATTTTGAGGAGCATCCTGGATTGCAAATTTGCATTATCAAGCTAATTTTCAGGCAAGTGTTTAAAATCCTCCATTCTCTTTGTTAATAAGATGTTACAAAAAGCTGGGGGAGAGGAATAAAAAGATTTAATGTTGAAATCAGTATATCTGCATGTTCATAAAATGTAAGTTCCATACATTCGCAGTAGTTTGAACCTGATGTGATGATCTGACTCCTCTCAAAACTGTTAGGATAAAGCCCATGGATGGCATTCTTAAAAATATAATATGCAAGTAGATATTGTTTCAGATGCATTGAAGGGGACTGTATATATTCAGAATATCTATACAGCTTTTATAAGATTTAAATTGGTAACATATCAAAGTAAACAGGTTAAATGGGATTGAAGGGAAAAAAATCTATTGGGATCTTAAAGGGATTTTCTGATTATTAGTAATTTATTTTTATCCTTATTTCCTCCAAAGCGTTCAAGTGAAATTTGTTCTGTGAACTCCATTGCCAATTGAGTATTTCAGTCCATATCTGCACAATTCTGATATGACAGTACTTTCTGTGCTGAATTAGCTCTTTAGTCCATTCTGCCAGACAGTTGTGATTTCATCACAGACAATTGCTGTGATTAGTAGTGCTATGCGAAGCATTTGAAAGAGGCCCTTTGCAAAGCACATTCCAAAGAATATGGCTCGTTCAACACTTTGCACACTGGTATCCTACTAGTACTAACTCATATGCAAAAATGCCTGTTTCAAATGCTTTGCACAGCCCTAATGTTCAGTAACTGGTTTACAGAATACATTTTATCTTTGGGGTTAAAGGGCTTGTTCAGGCAGTTGCGACAAAACAGCACTAATTCAAAAACACATACATACATACAAACATACATACATACATGATAGCGGCACTAACTGTAAATCACCCTGAGTGCTAAGGCAAGAACAGATCAGCGAGAAGCTGACTGTGATATGAGAGGAGATAATATGGCATTAGAAGGCCTGTAGGAAAAAAAATAAAATATGGTTTGAGCATGCAAATATATAAGGCTTTACTTTAATCTATAAAGGATATTAGGAAAGAGAAGAAATTGCATCTTCTTCTGAGCTATGAGAATAAGAGTTAAATAGTACTTCAGAAATACTGTACAGCATACCTCTTTTCATATGATTTCTCCTTTGTCTTCGAAACAAACTGTTCATCAGGGTTAGAGATGTCTAGAGGAAAGGAAAGGAGCTTCTTCTGAACCTTCTCCACTCAGGACAGCATTTCAATTTTTTGCCAGAAGTTAACTGAAGACTGGTTTTAAAAGCATCTTATTGCTTATACCAAAAGAGAGACTCCTAAATATCCGGATGCTGTGGAAGTAGCTTTGTCTAGCATGAGGATCAGGCATCTGCAGCCCAGATGCATTTAATCTCTTTCTTGATCATGTGCAGAGAAACAAAATCACCAGGACTGGCTTTGCACAAGACTCTGTAAAAACACATCAATAGGAAATAAAAACAACAAGTTATTTAATGTAATAGGATTGCATTATAGTTATTTAGCTTGCTTACACCGTTTTCTTTTTATCATTTCTAAACTTCACTTAAGTAAAAAAAAGACCATATCCTTTTCCTTTTTTTCTGTGGATTTTTTTATTAAAAATTGGATTATTTTTAATCAAAAGCACGTGCAAATAGGATACCATATTCTTTAGAATTTGACTGCTTTCCTGAGCCACTATTTTGCACATGGCACTATTTGGTGGAGCTTAACTTCATAGCAAAAACCAAGGTAAGTTTTGTAGCCCTGAGCCTTGTCTGCCACAGAGTAGGTCCAAATTGTCAACTCCAATCTTGATATGATTAATGTGAATTCATTATGGTTGGTAAAAGTGTCACAATTAGCCAGTTTGATTAGAGAGAGATTAATAATTACATTTATCAGTGACTGGAAACCCCCTTTGAACCTTTTGCTGAAAAAAACTGAACTTCTGTCTTATGGATTTATGGGTAGCTTATGGAAAGAAGGAAATTATGAAGTAACCTTAGAGAAAAAAATGTAAAATATAAATGTATTTATAACTGCTACCCAAAAGATCAGAAGCCACTTCTTTATAATATTTCTTTTTCTTTTTCTATTTTCTTTTACTTATTCACTATTCTTTGTTATTTTGTTTCTTTTTTAATGCCTGCATCTTGTTAAAAAAAATTCATCAATAAAATTACACAAATTCATTATGACTGAAGTTTAGGATTAGACGTGTTGATTCTTAAGTATTGTGTTCTTTTGCTAAAAGTTTGCAGTCATGCAGATTGACACTGCCCGAGAACTGGAGGATCCTGACTACCTTACTGAGAGCTACCTGAATTTGGCACGGAGCAATGAGAAGCTCTGTGAATTCCCCAAAACTATCTCCTATTGTAAGACCTGCCTGAACATGCGAGGTACAACACTGGGCCTGCAACTAAATGGCCAAGTCAACCTCAGCATGGGCAATGCCTACTTTGGCCTCAGTATCTTCCAAAAAGCTCTGGAGTGTTTTGAGAAAGCTCTACGGTACGCACACAACAATGATGACAAGATGCTGGAGTGTCGTGTCTGTTGCAGTCTAGGAAATTTCTACACACACCTCAAAGTAAGTATTGCAGAAATGACAATGGAAGAGAATGTAGATCAGAAGTTTAAAAAAATGCAACTTTTCCAACTGTGTGAAAGATTGTACAGATGGTAGATTGAGTGCAGTGGTTTCCACCTGTTTTCTGTGAACCCTAACTTCGTGATCTGAAGCTTGTCAGGACCATCGCATAAATCAGAGCTCAAGTGCATGCCACATACATGACTCCTCTAAAATGGTATCTGTGGGATGTCAACATTAAATAAAAAATAATGTTTTGATTAGGTAAGGCCCGAAATCTTGCAAATTTGCTTAGCTTCTCAACTTTTTAGAATTATGAGCTAAAATCTTGAGACATTAGGGAAAACATACCAAAATATTACATGGTTTTGTAATATTGTGGAATTTTGGCTATTAGTTCGGTGCTCACGCAAGGTCCTAGATACAACCCTTTGTAATATCCTGCCTCAGTGGAACTATGGTTTCAACTCATATATTTAGATGGTGAAAATCTTCCAGAAAAAGTTGTACCACAAACTGCCACTTGTGGACATAGGTATTATTTATTGTCAGAAAAATGTTGATTAGCTAATGGAAAGACTTAAATAGTCTTTTTTTACATTTTGGCCATCTAATTTTATCATTCTATTTTATTAAAGTCTATTTATTTTTGGATATCATGAAACAAAAAAACACTGAGAAATCACAGTATGCATCAGTAATATTTTTCAACAATCTAACAATAAATGAAAGAAAGTAGAAAGCCTTTCTGCTAATTTCAAGGATTTAATCACACAATCATTTTCATAATATAGCTTAAGGTAGAATCACACAATATGGTTATCTGCTATCACATGCAAAGTATTCTATGTTAATGCTTATAGATTCATTTGTGAGAAAAGATTATCAAATGTATAACTTAATATCTATTATATATTGAAGTATGTAAAGCTCTTGGAGAATAATCTTTATTTTGGTAATGTTTTCTACATGAAAGTTAAAGCATTTTGCTATTTCTAGGAAAATTCATACCATCAATTTTAACATTGCTTATTTTGGTGTAAATTTGGACAAGTTTACTTACAATAATCATTTTTCAATCTTCTCACTGTGAACTCAAATGAAGTGCGAGGACATGCCTTATCTTAACAAAGACTTCAGATATATATAGTTTTACTACTTAGTGGAAACTTGCCATATTAAATTCTTCATTACATATTTCAGAATGTGTACATGTACAAAGCACGTGTTTACAGTACTATCACCAGTTCATTTTTTTTTAACCAGAAAAATATAATTAATGGGGTAATCTTATATTCCAAAAAGTTAACCGCTCCAAATTCCATATTGGTGCTTCTTATAAAAGCAGGTTGAAACCATGGATATTTTCATCATAATTTTTAAATCAATCAATCTAGGTTACAAATTGTCATAAACCTTATTCCTTAGTGGATTTACATCCCACCGTTTACCATAGAAAAATCAGAATCAATCAAAACAGCTTAAAAGATTTCATGACTTCAGTCATAGCTTTTACCATTTCTGCAGCCTTTCTGTGTCTTTCTTCTCAATCTTTCTTCTTCTTCTTCTTCTTCTTCTTCTTCTTCTTCTTCTTCTTCTTCTTCTTCTTCTTCTTCTTCTTCTTCTTCTTCTTCTTCTTCTTCTTCTTCTTCTTCTTCTTCTTCTTCTTCTTCTTCTTCTTCTTCTTCTTCTTCTTCTTCTTCTTCTTCTTCTTCTTCTTCTTCTTCTTCTTCTTCTT